TTAACACTAAATGTTGATTTACGTAACTAAATATTTTCCAGGATATATAGATTCAAAAAAATATTGTGTATGTACCCGAGAAGTTTTCTTTATAAATGTAGATAGTAAATTTACCGTTAGGTTAGGTTATACATGATGTAAAACTGAAGAATTTGGATTGGTCACGCAAAGATCATCCTCCCACATATAGCGACGTGTAAGGTTATTTTAAAATAATGTATACTATGTAAAAAATATATACATAAAATTCGTTTCGGTCAAGTCGGGGTGTGTAATATATCATTAGAAAAGGTCAACCCTGTTATTTTCTTTATAAATATAAATCGTAAATTTACCGTGTAACCATGTTATCGAAGAATTTAGGTTGTTTGCTTAAAAAAAATCCTCCCCATGTGGCGATGCATATGGTCATTTTAAAATAGTATTTACGTGTAAAAATATATACATAAATTTCGTTTCGGTCAACGAAAGGTCTTTCCATAGAATCTTATAACGCACTAAAAAAATCAGGTTCAGACCAGTTGCTAATGTTTGGTAGATGCTGGCTTGTTTACGTAAAGAACACCCTCCCCCCATGTGGTGATGTGTAAGGCCATTTTAAAATAATGTATATTATGTAAAAAATATTTACATAAAATTCGTTTCGGTCAAGTCGGGGTGTGTAATATATCGTCAGAAAAGACCAACCCCGTTATTTTCTTTATAAATATAAATCGTAAATTTACCGTGTAACCATGTTATCGAAGAATTTAGGTTGTTTGCTTAAAAAAAATCCTCCCCATGTGGCGATGCATATGGTCATTTTAAAATAGTATTTACGTGTAAAAATATATACATAAATTTCGTTTCGGTCAACGAAAGGTCTTTCCATAGAATCTTATAACGCACTAAAAAAATCAGGTTCAGACCAGTTGCTAATGTTTGGTAGATGCTGGCTTGTTTACGTAAAGAACACCCTCCCCCCATGTGGTGATGTGTAAGGCCATTTTAAAATAATGTATATTATGTAAAAAATATTTACATAAAATTCGTTTCGGTCAAGTCGGGGTGTGTAATATATCGTCAGAAAAGACCAACCCCGTTATTTTCTTTATAAATATAAATCGTAAATTTACCGTGTAACCATGTTATCGAAGAATTTAGGTTGTTTGCCTAAAAAAAACCTTCCCATGTGGTGATGCGTATGGTCATTTTAAAATAGTATTTACGTGTAAAAATATATACATAAATTTCGTTTCGGTCAACGAAAGGTCTTTCCATAGAATCCTATAACGCACTCAAAAAAAAATCAAGTTCAGACCAGTTGCTAATGTTTGGTAGATGCAATATTAAACGAAATATCATCCCTTCCAACGAGTTGGGAGGGATGAATATTTTGCTTGTTGGAGGGAGGTTATGATTAAATCTTAGACCATGCTAGTGAACCAATATTTCTAACAACGTCAGATTTGGTTCTACAGCGAAAACGTTAACAAGTGCATCTAAGTTTTCACTCCGTTAAAATATTACATTTATTTTTCAGTGTTTAATTTTAATATTATCGGTTTTGTGTTTTTTTAAAAACAAATTATCATATTAATATTATTATTATTATTGCTAATTTTAAATATATTTTCGCTTTCGCATAAATTTAACATACTAACGCATACAATATATTAACGCTTATATAAGATATTGCTTACTAACTTTATAACGCAATTCATTTTTTTTTACGCATTTAACATAATATATTATTATTATTAATCAATTATTATTATATTATTAATATTATATTGATCATATTAAATTTTTAATCATGTATCAGTGTAAGATTTGTAAAAAGGTGTACTCTTTAAAGCATAATTTAAACCGTCATCTTAAAACTCATGATGGTGTTCGATTTTACTGCGGTGAATGTGAATTTGATTGTGAAAGTAAATTCAATCTTACTCGACACTGCAAAAGGAAGCACGGTATGTAAATTACTTAAAATAAGATACATTTTTTTTAATTTAAAAAAATTTAGTGATTTAATTAAATAAATATATATATTCACACAGCCGGAGCTGGTCAGGATGGAAGACACGAGCGTATACAGCAACGTACTAGCGTTATACAACACACATCCAACAACCAGACATTAGGTTAGTATAAACATTTTTTTTTGTAAAATAGTAAATATTATTAAATACCCTTTTTTTTTTAGAACAAAGGGGCACATCACATGAAAGCTTCTTCGATAGTGAAGGTGATGAATTATGTAATCAAGCATATGATAATATTCCATCAACATCGGCAAATTTACCGGACTGCATACAGACCCCCGAACATATGCAATCAAACTCGGCAAGTGGATCAGGTTAGTCAATAATATAGTTTATTACAAGTGAAACGATAGGATATGGTTAGATTAAAATTTAGTTAATAATAATATATTAGAAATAAAAAGAATCGTTTAAATAGGTATTATTACAACTTGGTTAAATTATTAGTAAAACCAATTTTTAATTTAACTCTGGAATTAATTTTTAAACGATTAACTAAAAAATTGCCTATCTTCAACGCCTGTTTTTATTAGTTTTATTATAGTTTTACAAGTGAAACGATAGTCTAGGGTTAGATTAAAAATTTAGATAATAATATATAGGAATTATATCTAATTGATTGAGTAGTTAGTATTACAACTTGGATAAATTTATTATCAAAAACATTATTTTTAACGTGATTAACCATTAAATGAATAAATATTTTTTTTAATTTATTATCAAAAACATTATTTTTAACGTGATTAACGATTAAATGTATAAATATTTTTTATTTTTTTAAGATAAACTAATTTATATAAAAATCGTTCACCGTCTACAATCGTTTTTTTAATTTTTTTTAATTTATCTCCAAAACTATTTAACTAAATGTATAAATATTTTTCGTGTTAATAAAATAGAATTCTGCGAAGTAAATTACAATTTTTAAACGTTATAATAATTATCTAAAAATCTTTTACATTCTACGGCCGATTTTATTTTAACTGAAATTATTTTTAAACGATAAAATATTTACATAAAAATTGCCTATCTTCAACGCCCGATATTTTTTTTAGTTTTTATTTAATTTGATTAGAAAATTATAGTAAACGTATTATATTAAGTAGGGAATATTATTTTATTATTAGGTGTAGGTAAACGACAAAGAGACAACATCAACCAATCTAACACCCGATTGAAACGTCATCGACTAGCAGCTACTCAAGTAGATGGATTTGTATTAACTAGCAGTGGGTTCAACGGGCTTTGTAAAACTTTCTTCAAAAGAAATTTTAATCAGTTAGCTGATTATGACTCTTTCCTGGCTGAAACCAAACCGCAACTATTCGAATTATTAAGAACACTTGTAGCCGAAAATGCGGTGAAGTATACATTAAAACTGGAATCGACGTATAAAATCCCTTCTACAGATGTTTCGGAAAATAGAGCATTCAAGTCATCAGCAAGAACTCTATTCCAAGACACGAACATTGAATCGGCAATAGACGAGGACTTTGCTAAGATAATTTCTGAAGAGGGTGAGATGGAGGGGAAAGGATCCGGGTTTTCTTTAGAGAAAATTGATGGTGTACTACAGTAGAAGGGGAATGTATGTACTGGAACAATGGGAGGATTGAGGATTGAGGATTGGTGATTAGCCGGAGGATTAGCCGGAGGATTACGCAGGTGGCGATCGGATAATTCACAGCTGTCCTGTACCCCGTCTTGTAGGTGTCTCGGCCGCCGCCCGGAGAATGGCCGCCGCGGGGATGAATGGACGACGGTGTAACAATGAACTCCGCCTCGTTGACCCTAACCTTACCTAACCTAACCCAATCAGAAAATTTTAATGTATTATATTTAAAGAAAAAAATCTTCATTATTTTTATATTATTATTTTTAACAGCTAATTTTTTGATTTTCAATCTAACCTAGCCTAACCTGTTTTAAGCTGTTATAATTTTTAACGGTCATTTCTTAATAATATTATTTATGGATAATACATATAAAATATTATATTACTTTAAAATTTTGTTTTAAAACACCGTTTAACTGATGTCATAGAATATGATATTTTATTTAATACAAACCTTAAAAGTAAAAATGGCAAGTTTCCATTAAGTACAATATTTTTTCCTTATAACGCATAGAAATCATGCATACACACCTTAAGATCACAGACAGGTGAAATTATGTAAATATTATGGTCAGATTTTTTTTTTACAATTCTTACTAACCATAGTGTTATAGAAACGATTAATCCAGACCACACATCCAAGGTTACCGACAAAGTATCTTATATACAACGACAAAAAAAACATGAACACGTAAATCACATATGCATCTACAGTTTACCGTCATGTGGGTTACATGCCTCGACATGATACGATATGTTTAAGGTCAAAGCAGGTGGTTTTTAAACTGTCCAATTCTAATATAATATTATATCGATAATGCACCCTTACAAGAGGGTAAAAACCGTGAACACGCAAAAAACATATAGCATCTACATTACACCGTCAGATGTGTCTACATGTCTCAACAAGAAACGACAGGTTTAAGATCAGAGTAGGCATTTTTAACAGTATTTTTAAGAAATCTCCCTTCCAATAACTAAATGCTACAATTTTAATGATTCTAACCCCCCCCCCCCCCACATGGTATATTTAACGATTCGTTTGCACTAGTGATGGTCTATGGTGCTAAAACATTCATCGTTTAGTGTTCGAGCTCTGCAGTACAACGTTTAAAAGTGAATCAAAGTTTCCAGTGTCTAGTTTTTTTTTTACACTTAAACAAATTACTTTAATTCATACATCATGGATGGATCGATCGCACCAATCTACAAGAAGCAGAAGTACACCTACATTCCACCGACTCCGCCAAATGACCTGATTGGATGCAGCAGTTATACATTGGATTTCAACGTTTGGAAATTTATTCAAATTGGGATCGATCCGAAAAAATCATTTAGTGTAATGATTCATATCATTACACCGTCGCGGTATGTGAGCATAACAAGTCACTATATGAAAACTATATATACACTAATGGGTGATATACTATCAAGCGTCATGGAGAAGCCTGAAAATACACAGACTACATTTCTCTCAGACACCAATCTTTCATTAACTAAAATGGTTTATAAGGATGAAAATGTGCTGGTTATTGAATCTCAAGCTGTAAATGGATGTCGCATTCTACTTAACCGTAGAGATTTGATGAAACTGGCTGAACTAGAATATATTGTTCATGAATGTGTTGAAAAACACTTGGCAATTACAACGGAAAACGTGTATCAACAAATCGAAATGATTATAAAATATTACATGGGCTGTTTCTTCCCAACCAAGGAAACAAGCAGAACAGAGTTGTTAAGATGTATCATGGAGGTATCATGTATTACTATAACTTCAGCAATAGAGCCGATGAGTGAACCTAATTATATTAGTGAAATTAAAAGATTTGCTGTTGAAGAATTGGCTGACGTCTGGATGAAGAAAATAACTGACCGAAATGACATACCTAAGGTATTGTACACATTTTTTTTATTTTAAAAATTTTCATATTATTTAATTAATTAATTTTAAATTTTTTTTTAAAGGCAATCGATGTAAATGATGGTCCAACTCGATACGATTGGCGTGGTGAAGAAGAATCACAATGCTTCTCCTTTTCAACACAAGCATACGACAACTATAAACACACGGAGAAGTCAACATGGGCACCTCGAAAACTTGAATTTTAAGTGTATACTATACTGTTTAAATATGGTTTTATTGTAATTTACGTTTCAAATAAAAAGTCAACAAAAATTAATTTTAAAATACAAATGTTTTTTATTTTTTTTATTTAAAATAATCTCTTAACATATAAGGTACATTACACTACATATAGTTACATGAAATAAGTTCATACAATATAAGGTTAAAAACAATTAAATTAATACAAATTATTAAATATAGTTAAAAAAAACGTTACAATTTTCGAATATCACCCGAAAAAGGGTTATAAGTAATAATTTGATCGTGTAGAATCATACAGTACGCTGAGGTATTTGCAGGAAAAGCTTCTAAAGCTTCAAATTCAATTCTTAAATCTGTTGTGCTAACTTTAATGTCATCATCCTGGTGTGTAAGATCAATGACGGCCACAGGCATAAACTTTAAAAAATTATCTTTATTAAGAAGTGGAGCAACGCTATCTCGGTCATAGTAAGATTTTTGAAAATCGGTATATGCTTTATAGAAAAGTGAAAATAATCCTTTAGAATAGTCAGCACGAAAATCTTCATATGGATACACTTGTGTATTTAAATACACTTTTAAATTAAACAGTTAGCAGTGATCAAAAACAGACATGGATGAAGTATAGGTATTTTTACGGTTAGTTTGAAATCCTGCAACAATATATCTTGGTTTTTCTAATTTGTTACATGTACGTACAGACCACGAATGACGAGCATTTGTTGGGAGTGTAGGATATTCAGATAGCTCCCAAGTCCTAAATGGAACCTCAATCGATTTTCGACTATCTAATATTTTCATTAGACCGAGTTTTTCTTTATTGTTAACTTTAATTAACGGCATTTTCCATACAATTTTAGAAAGAATTATTTTTGTTCCAGCAAGAGCTGTTTTTTTAGCAGCTTCCTCTTCGAATATCTGTAAAGCGTTCGAATCTGTCGATGCTCTATTCAATATTAATTGATGTGAACAATTCATAATAATTTTTTTATAATCTTCACAAAAACCAAATAAATGACTCAGTGGGATAATTCCGGAAAATTGGTCTTCTTGTGCAAATTTTTCATTATCAAATTTCACACCGTCGAATGCGCTATCTGTTAAAGTATACACGTTTGATTGAGTATACGAACACATCCCTTTAAGAGTAGACGTTATACCTGGATTGCGTACTTTTTGAATTTCAACACCGTTAATTTCATAACGTGCTTCGGAGAACAGATATGCCAACCCATTGTTTATAAAACGAACCGATCCTGTAGCGTTAGAAGGCTTTTGTAGTTTACCTTCAATATAAATATAACTCTCACTTGGAAGAGTATAACTATCTGAATTTTGAACTGCTATACGAATTTCATCGTTGTTTGATAGAGCAGAAGTAGAGAATGGTAAAAACGAGTGAAATTCTTTATCAATAACTTTACACTCATCTACACATCCAGATGACACGTCAAGATAAATATCATCCATAATTAGAGTGCGTTTAACGACCGTAAAAATTTCAAATTAGATTTGCTAAGTTTTTTCTGTTAATATTTCTAGATTTCTTTAGATGTTTACGTTTTGTAGTTGTCTTGGTGCGATTCTGTTGTTTAATAGATCGTTTAGAGATTGTCGTCCTATTTATATTAGAAAACTTCAAACCCATTTTTTATATATTCTGTTTAATGTGTAGTCGAACTGTGATTGGTTCACCTCTAAAATCGATCAAATCACCGTCCTGATCAGTTAACAATATACGCAAATTTGATATAGATGTGGTGATAAGAGGATAGTAAATGAGATGTCGAGGTACTTCTATTATCTTATAACCTGCAGCAACTGTAGGATAGAATTGATGAATAATATGGCTTGAAGTCCCATTATCGAATGAAGATGTTATTAGGTTACACTGTACATTTATACAGTTTACTTTTGTAATGTTAACAATACACTGAGACTCATGTTTCTCATCGGGTTTATATATTATCCCAGTATCAAAACCTAATAAGCTACCTATGCTGTCGACCATAGAAAAATCAATTTTATGGCTGCACTTCATTTCACATTTCAAAGTAACAGTGTTAGCTTTTAATTCAAAATATGTAACTATATCGGATAATAGTGATTTAATGGTTGCTTCTAGACTCACTATTTCATAAGAACCTGTAGGTATGGTTATTAACTGTATGTTAGTAACTGTATCAAGGGCGTTATCACGTACTACTCCAATACGGTTACATCCAGGTTTGATGTTTGGTATAGAGTTGTTTGTTTGAAGGCTTAAAAGACCTAATTCTGAACTATTAGCAACTTCTATAGGAGGAAAAAATTCACATGTTAATTCAGAAGAATTACTGTTAAGTGTTAAAGTTGTCATGGTTCCGATAAAAATTTTAAACACAAGTGTCCACAGTTATATGTATTATATCGTTGCTGTTTTTCACAATTGTAAATGATTTTACAACTTTTTAAATATTTCTGAACTTCAAGCGGGGGTTCTAACCCAAAGCTATCATAGTAATAAGCGCGGTTAAACTTCTTCCTAAGAGCAACCCAGTGGGAACCTGCGTTAACCGAGAGAGCTAAATTAATAACAAAAGCTTCTTGGCTTTTTGTATGAACAGGCAACGTATCTCTACAACAGGTTCCCCTGTAATGGGGTATTTTTAAAAGACGTGCACATTTATTAATTTCAAAATCAAATAATGCACGTTTGGGTAGCTCTGATATTAGTTTTTTGAATTACTTCCTCGTTTAGTGCTTTTAGGTTTTTTTATTCCTGCCCCTGATGATTTAGGTGCTAGAAATAATCCTTTTCCTATCTTATATTTTCCTTGTCCATAGGGCGTTAAAAACAATCCTTTTCCCAACTTTACAGTTGTATTTTTAGAAGCCCTTAAATCATTAATAGTTTTAACAATATTACTCGCTCCGGAAGCTAAAGATCCAACTGCAGTTAAACCGGCTATCAGAGGTAAAATGGGTAAAAACCCTCCAGATTTAGGAATAGATATTATTCTAGGTACTGATTTATTTTTTTTATTTTTAACCACAACCTTTTTAGCTGCTACTATAGCGATTTTAGCCAATTTAACCATGTTTTTCTCTGTACTCTTTTTAACAGCTTTTTTTGCTGCGGATACAGCTTTTTTATAATGAATCCCCATGCCTAACTTCCGTTTAGCTTTTATAGCAGTAGTTACTAGCCAAGAAGCGGCTTTTTCTTTAAGTCCAACGTCTTTAGATTTAACTAACTCCCAAGCATTATCTTCTAATAATCTATCAGCCTTGTGCCTATCATTCAGAGAGTTACTATTATTGTATGCAATATCATGTTCTCGACAGAGTTCATCTAATTTATTCACACCTCTATCACCCCGTGCAAGCCTTTCTTTTAATTTAGTCCCAGGACCTGCGAATCTAATAAAAACAAAAATATATATTTATTAGTTTTAATCATTATTTTTATTAGTTTTATTTTTTTCAATTACTTATATCCGGGCAAATGTAATTCAAATGGAAGATTATTTATAGCAGTGTTTAGTATACCACCACCTTTGTTGGTGTTGTTCTTTCGACGTGTAGACATCATATGAGCCATTACGTTTTTAACCAGATATATTTATACCGTTATGATTTTTTCACCACAAACTATTAAACTTTCAGTTTTAAACGCGGATCCTCCGGAGATGTATCAGACTAAGTCTAAAAATGGGTATTTATTACCAAATTCCGTACGCGCCTTAATTTTAGCCCCTTCTGGAGGGGGTAAAACCAACTGTGTATACTCTTTACTTACTAACATTAATGGGATTAAGTTTCAAAACATTTATTTATACTCGAAAACTGTAGATCAGCCAAAATATAAAATGTTAAAGGATATTATATCCGGTATTGATGGTATGAAGATGTTTACTTTTAACGAAAGCGATACTGTAATTCCTCATGAGAAAGCTTTACCTGAAAGCACATTTATTTTTGATGACGTTTTAACAGAAAGTCAAGGTGTTATACGCGCTTATTTTGCTCGCGGTAGACATAACAAGTTGGATTTATTATATTGTGCACAAAGTTATTCATATTTAGATAAAAGAATTCTTCGTGATAATGCAAATTTTCTTGTGGTGTTCAAAATGGATCAGACCAACTTAAAACATATTTACAATGATCATGTAGCTACCGATATGTCATATAATCAATTTAACGAGTTTTGTACAACCTGTTGGAATCGTGAAAAATATAATTTTATAGTTATTAGCAAAGACGATGAGAGAGATAACGGACGGTAAAGGCTCAATTTCGATACGTTTGTTACTATATAGAGTACAACTCGTATAACTATTTATTCATTTATCGATCAAACATGGCAGAGGAAAGTTACACTTTATTAAAAGAGTTAATACAGGCTAGAGAAAATATTAAACAAAAATTTAAAGATCTTAAACAAAATAATGCTAGAACCGATCATGTTATAAGGCAAAACCTAAATCCTATAATTGAACCTCTGCAAAAACTAACAGATATAAAATTAACTAAAATTAAATCAAAAGAAAACCTAGTAAATGAATCTATGCAATCAGATACAGAAGCCACCTCATCGACACAAGATCAAAACCCTGATGCGATAGACGTGGAAGACTTTATTAACAAACGCATAAGAACATGGTTAGAGTCTAGTAACTCGGATAAACTTTACGGGCCTATACAACATAAAAATGGTAAAATTACTCTCGGAGACTGTGCGTTAGTGTTTGAGGCTAAAGAAGAATCAGTTTATTTAGATAAAATATCATACCCCTTAACCACAGGTGTTTTGGAGTTATTGTTTTCAAAAAAACCTATGAACTATACTGAGACAGATTTAGGGAACTATAAAAGTATGTTAATAAAATCAAGTGTTCATCTGAATAAAAACAAAACACATATTCGCAAAGGAGGAAAAAAATATAATCTCATTGTTGGTTTATTCGCCAAAGGTGAAGGTCTTACTTTAACGCTAAGAAAAAACGTTAAGAAAGAACTAATTTTTTGGAAAAATCCAAACGATTTGTGTGAACGTTTAAAATTACTATTAGCTTCACAATCAGCAGGTAATACAGGTGTTTCGAATGAAATCACAATAATTTGGCAAGAGCTACTCAAGTCTAAGCTAATTAAACGAATTCCCGATGTCTAAACGGGAAATTGCTAACGAACTACACAGGCCTGCAAGAAGAAATTATATAAGAAGAAAGGTTGTATTATATGGAAAAAATGATTTGTTTCAAGCAGATTTATGTGAAATGGTACACTATGCGAACGTTAATAAGGGGTATAAATATTTACTCACAGTATTAGATTGTTATACTAAATACGCATACACAGCACCTTTAAAATCTAAAACCAGTAAAGAAGTAACATTAGCAATGGCTAAAATATTTAATATTCAATGTCCTAAACTCCTTCAGGTGGACAGAGGTTCAGAATTTTACTCAAAAACATTTGATGAATTAATTGAAAAATATAAAGTAAAACGATATTCTACCTTTTCGACTTTGAAAGCCAGCATAGTCGAAAGATTTAATAGAACGCTCAAAAATCTTATGTATAGAGAGTTCACAGCTAGGGGTTCATATAACTGGTTAGATATTCTACCATTAATAACCGAAAAATATAATCATACTATACACAGATCTATAGGATTAACACCTGCACAAGCTAATGCAAACCCCTCACTAGTTAAATTACGTGAACGTGTGATTCCATATAAAAAAATCAGATTTAAAATTGGTGATAACGTCAGAATATCGATTTATAAAAGTTTCTTCCATAAAAAATACCTTCCGAATTGGTCGACTGAGGTGTTTTGTATTACTAAAGTCAACAAAACAGATCCCCCCACTTATTTACTTAAAGATTATAAAAATAATCCTATATCGGGTTGTTTCTACACCGAAGAATTGTCTAAAACCAACTATCCACATGACTACTTAGTGGAAAAAGTTGTTCGAACTAAAGGATCTAAATTGTATGTTAAATGGTTAGGATTTCCATCGACCGAAAATAGTTGGATAAATAGGACTGATATAAAGCAACCATAGCCAGTCATACGTTGACTATGAACGTGTTTGGAGAGACTGCTGATACATTTATAAACAATATAATTTCAACGCTTGACGGTAATAGCAAACTTATAAAAAATAACGATAATAAAATTTCAAGTATTACAAAACAGTTGTATGACATACAGAAAACAACATCAGATAACCTTGAAAAAATTAAATCTATAGAAACTACTATAGAAAAATTCAATGATGATAATGAAATTTTTAAGTATACAACTGATAAAACAATCGTAGAAATTCTTAATAGTATTCAAGACCAAAACGATGTTCGAAAATTAGATGAACATATATTAGGCCGTATAAGTTCTTTAGAAGTGTTTCTCGCAGATAAATCAGGATTTAAGAAGCCGGCAAATTAGTTGATTTATTTTTTCATAATGACTTCTGCTATTTTGGATATGGAATGCATTATGTCACCAGACTCTAATTATTTAGTAAAAGAATTATCTGTAATTGCAACTGACACATGGAATACACAACATTGGATATTTAAGTACAACTTTACACAAACTTCAAACAAAAACACTCGAAACGTTAACAGGTGGCTAGCTAGAAACCATCACTCAATGACACCTCAATATGGAGACGTTGAAGCAGAAGATATATCGAGAATTTTAAATTCTTTAACATTTACAATCATCTATGTCAAAGGGCTACAGAAAAAAGATATTTTACATCAGTTTATACCACATATCCAAATAATTAACCTTGAAGACATCGGATGCCCTCGCTTATCGGAACTAACCACTGAAGAATCATATCCATCATGTTTATTTCATATGAATTTAAACCCTAAACACTGTACTTTTTATAAAATGTTTGCATTACGAAATTGGTTTGTAAACATCTCATAACCTTGTATATTATAATGTATTTTAGTTTAACTTTATTTTTAATAAAAACAATTTATTTATTATAATTTAGTAGTCTATTTTTTTTATTTACATTACGAATATAACATAGTACATGTAAAGATATTATTTATATATATATATATTTATTATTATAAATTTGAACATTGTTATTGTTATAAAGTGGAAAAAAAAGGGGAGGGAACATTAATAAATTTTATTTACATATTCTCACTACAACAATCAGAAGTGGGAGAGGTTGTCTGCACAAAACTGAAGTGTATAGAAAATATATATAACAAAACAAAAAATAAAATGGTAAAAAAAAAAAGTGTATATGTACATATATAATAACACTTTATTTACAATAAAAAGGTTGAGGTTAGCTACAATATAATTCATTTTAATATTAAATCTATATTATTGACATTACAAGTATAACATACATGTACAGATATTAGTTAATTAAACATATATTATATGCATGTATTCACAAATTTAATCAATGTTATTGTTATAAAGTGGAAAAAAGGGGGGGGGGAATATTAATAAATTTTATTTACATATTCTCACTACAACAATCAGAAGTGGGAGAGGTTGTCTGCACAAAACTGAAGTGTATAGAGAATATATATAACAAAACAAAAATAAATAAAAGGGTGAAAAAAAAAATAACAATATCTATAAACTTAATAATAAATTGGAAATTATAGTTCTTCTTCTTCTTCTTCTTCTTCTTCATCTTCTTCTTCTTCTTCTTCAGCCATCTCCCTATGTTTAAATAAATTGTTTATATAAGTAACATTTTTTTTTAACAATCTAATGATTTTATAACTTACATTAGTTTATAATGTCCATAAGGTAAAGTATGTATACGGTCAGGTAATACAACTCTCTTGTCGTCTTGTCGATTTAACGCTAGCTTGAGGGTTGAAATGGTTTTAATATTATATTTATAAGAACGGAATGAATTCATCGTACGGTATGGATTGAATGCAGCTGGATCTTTTCCATTGATACCTTGGAATAAACAATCCATATGATCCTCAAATGTCATATGGTTCTTTATTACATGGTAAGCAACGCCCTTAGCTTTAATATGTTCATGTCCAACCTGTATGTAACCATACGATTTTGGTTTTAGAGCCACTTGTTCTGAGATTATTTCACCTCCAGTCTCATCTAAAACATATTAGAATTATTATCTATATACAATAAAAAAAAGAAACTATTATATTGTATAACTAACCTGTGAAAGTTCCGGGAACTTTTTTTCTCTCGGTTCTATAACACGGATGAGATGGCGGGAAATTAGATGTATCCAATTTTTCCAGAAAACCCGGTTTGGTTAGCATGTCATGGTAAAAGTCATCTGTCTTAATTAAATACATTAGAGAATCTGAAAATATTAATAATAAATATATATAATAGTTTTCCAATAAAAAAAATAATAATAGTATTACCTGTATCCATGTATAACAGTTCTATGTCACATCCATAGTATTTTTTCATTACATTGTAATGAAAATTATACATTAAAGTCTTGGAGATTTCCAAGACAGTAAATCCTACATAAATAGGCTTATCAAAAGTTAAAACTGCCTTGTGGAGGTGTACCGCATACAAGTTTTCATTGTATTGCGTTACACCCTTAAATGTAGGCTTGTTTATCAGTTTTTGAAAAGCTGCAGGACTGCAGACAAGAGACATCTTCATGCGATTGCGCACATTCTCCATGGTTTTACCTATTAAAATAATTAAGATGATATTATTTTTTAAAAAAATTATTTTTTTTATATATAATTATATATATATATACACATTTACCAAAAACTGCGTTGTTCATGAGCTTAAAGAAGTCCTTTTGGAAATCGTCGGTTGCTTTTTTCCTCATTTCCGTATTGAGTGAAATATAGCTAGCTAACCAAGGGCTTTGGTCAAATTGAAGTACCCTATGCACCTTTTTTAAAACAAGACCCTCCTTCAGAGCCTGCTTTAAAATTGAGTGGTGCACAATATACTTTTTTTTATCGTTTAACGTCAAGATTAATTTTTTTATCTTTGAACCAGGAGGGGTAATCTTCTCACACATAAACGGCAGATCTGAATGTTGATCATGAAGGGATTTCGGGTATTCGACATCAACCTCTAAAATCAACCCGTTTTCCGAATTGTCATCTATTCTGTCTAAACGGTTTTGAATAGATTGTACAGAAAGATTTCCTTCGTACCATTTGAAGTTACCAGTTGGTATCGTTTGCGACATTGCCCAACCATATCTGAAATAATTATATGAAAAATAAAAAAATAAACTATAAATACAGTTTTTACATTATTATTACTCACAGATTTGTTGCATCAAGATATGTTATCCATCTGTTTGGTTCTTCGGGATTGTATACGGGCGCCTTGCTGTGGTTAGCTTTAGAGTATCTCTTTGAAGCTTGACAGATTCCCCCTCTTACACCTAAATTAGATAACGAATGTTAGAGATGTAATATCAATGAAACTTATAATTGTTATTACCTTGCTCGAACATAAGTAACATGTCATAGTCTGATATCAATTCCAACTTGGCTTCAGTGTGTTTCAAACACACATCGAAACTCATACCAGGGATAGTATAATAATGACAGCAATCGATTTCATATGTTTTTAAACAGAGCTCCCTAAAAGCTTCAAAAACATCACATAAAATATGTACATCCAATTCGTTATACCTGAAAAATATAAATAATTATCAGACTAAGATAGAATACTATTAAATATATCACATACCATAAGCTGTATTCGCCTAAAGTTTTGAATTTAAAACGATTCCATACATTTTGAGCGTGTTTATAATCATCTTGGGAAATATTTTTCTCAGTCAGTGAACTAAAAAAAAAAAATGATTTTATTTTATTTTATTATTATTTTTTTTTTTTTATGTAATATAATTATTATAATTCACCTGTAAAACTGTTCTATAGGCGGTAGACACTGTTCTTCCAATTTTTCCCATGAGTCCGTATAATGGTAACAGTAAACACCTTTACGAGTAACCATATCCAAATCATCTTCACCATATGCACTTATCACAGAACGGAACTTTGTCTTATCGGATCGAGCAAGGTTATTGGCTAATTTTTCTAAACTACTAGCCATAAAACGATAACTATCCAGAAAACGTATAGAAAACCTATTCGAAATATATTTTGAAAAAGAAATAAATTTTTTCTTCACTATTTGGAATTACGTTTATTGTATGCGGATCGTGCCCTAATTCATTTATTATTATATGGCTATCATAACTAGAGAGATTGTGCATGATGCAACTTACGAATTTCGCGGTTTGCATCTTTAAGTTACACCTATTACAGACAGTCTGTCTATATCTACCGCTTAAATGATGGTGATCACGTACCGGATTATTTGTTAATGAAAATTTACATTTACAAAGAGGACATTTACCCCCGTTCACGATAGACTTATGGTTACTTTCATTCTGTGATGTCATACATATAGGAGTGTTGATTTTTAAAAGCTGTTCAATTTTACGTGCCACATCAGTAATGCTCTGTATAAAATGCTTCGGTACATCGTTAGCCTCAGAATTTGCATTACCTCTGTATACAACCGGGGATTGCGGTATGTCGAATTGATCCATTAGCTCTGTCGGTACATCCTCGCTAGCTTTAACTAAATAACAATAACTCATGGGAACATGCTCTTGAGTGACAGTTGTTTTCCCAAAATGGTTGTCCCCTACAGGTTTCTTCAATAAACACTCGAAATCAGCGTAAATGACAAAATCGAGTTTTTGGGTGTTACCCCAGTTCTCAAACTGCATGTACGTATTTGGCGGTGGTAGAATTGGAGTTACTGACTCGTTCTTGACGCATATTCGTTTATGATCTTCAAGTCTAGCTTCTTTATCAATTTTACCCGGTTCATCGATGTACACCTTAAAACAGCGTCTGCAGATGGCTTTTTCCTTGGTGTTTTTAGACAGTTGACATCCAACCAATCTTGCAAGATTCTTGATATAACAGTAGTGGTATACTCCCCCTCCGTTGTTGAAATATAATAAATCGTAATGATCGGTTTGTTCACGGTCACACACCTTGTATGGGATAATAATGAATTCATCCTTTTCTGCATTTTGAGACGTCTGGCCGTTGTTATTCTTAGATTTATTTTTATATGTTAAACTCCCCTTCTTGAAGCCGTACACGTTTATCGATACCCCTGGATTATTTTTTTCAAAATGTTTCACCTCAGATAATGGCACGGGGAAAGTAAGTCCCGAGAAATTGTGTCTGCTTGGCACATTCTGATAATGTGTGATACGGCTGGGGTTTGGCGCAGTAACGTCCTTGGCCATAATGCTGTATTTGAAGCACATATTGTCATTATTTTGTACGTTTATTGTTGCTTTACGATTTTCAATTGTCTCCGGAAGCGGTATAAAAGCTGAACCTCCAAGGGGTGTATATTTAAATACATCAAGTAGTATACCATCAATTTTCTCTAAAGAAAACCCGGATCCTTTCCCCTCCATCTCAGCCTCTTCAGAAATTATCTTAGCAAAGTCCTCGTCTATTGCCGATTCAATGTTCGTGTCCTGGAATAGAGTTCTTGCTGATGACTTGAATGCTCTATTTTCCAAAACATCTGTAGAAGGGATTTTATACGTCGATTCCAGTTTTAATGTATACTTCACCGCATTTTCGGCTACAAGTGTTCTTAATAATTCGAATAGTTGCGGTTTGGTTTCAGACAGGAAAGAGTCATAATCAGCTAACTGATTAAAATTTCTTTTGTAGAAAGTTTTACAAAGCCCGTTGAACCCACTGCTAGTTAATACAAATCCATCTGCTTGAGTAACTGCTAGTCGATGACGTTTCAATCGGGTGTTAGATTGGTTGACGTTGTCTCTTTGTCGTTTACCTACACCTAATAATAAAATAATATTCCCTACTTAATATAATACGTTTACTATAATTTTCTAATCAAATTAAATAAAAACTAAAAAAAATATCGGGCGTTGACGATAGGCAATTTTTATGTAAATATTTTATCGATTAAAAATAATTTCAGTTAAATTAAATCGGCCGTAGAGTGTAAAAGATTTTTAGATAATTATTATAACGTTTAAAAATTGTAATTTTCTTCGCAGGATTATATTTTATTAACACGAAAAATATTTATACATTTAGTTAAATAGTATCGAAGTTAAATTTAAAAAAATTAAAAAAACGGTTGTAGACGGTGACCGATTTTTATATAAATTAGTTTATCTTAAAAAAAAATAAAAAATATTTATACATTTAATCGTTAATCGCGTTAAAAATAATGCTTTTGATAATAAATTTAAAAAAATATTTATACATTTAATGGTTAATCATGATAAAAATAATGTTTTTAATAATAAATTTATCCAAGTTGTAATACTAACTATTCAATCGATTAGATATTATTATCTAAATTTTTAATCTAACCCTAGACTATCGTTTCACTTGTAAAACTATAATAAAACTAATAAAAACAGGCGTTGAAGATAGGCAATTTTTTTAGTTAATCGTTTAAAAATTAATTCCAGAGTTAAATTAAAAAATTGGTTTTACTAATAATTTAACCAAGTTGTAATAATATCTATTTATACGATTAGATATATTTCTAATATACTATTAACTAAATTTTAATCTAGCCATATCCTATCGTTTCACTTGTAAAAAACTATATTATTGACTAACCTGATCCACTTGCCGAGTTTGATTGCGTATGTTCGGGGGTTTGTATGTAGTCCGGTAAATTTGCCGATGTTGATGGAATATTATCATATGCTTGATTACATAATTCATCACCTTCACTATCGAAGAAGCTTTCATGTGATGTGCCCCTTTGTTCTAAAAAAAAAAGGGTATTTAATAATATTTACTATTTTACAAAAAAAAATGTTTATACTAACCTAATGTCTGGTTGTTGGATGTGTGTTGTATAACGCTAGTACGTTGCTGTATACGCTCGTGTCTTCCATCCTGACCAGCTCCGGCTGTGTGAATATATATATTTATTTAATTAAATCACTAAATTTTTTTAAATTAAAAAAAATGTATCTTATTTTAAGTAATTTACATACCGTGCTTCCTTTTGCAGTGTCGAGTAAGATTGAATTTACTTTCACAATCAAATTCACATTCACCGCAGTAAAATCGAACACCATCATGAGTTTTAAGATGACGGTTTAAATTATGCTTTAAAGAGTACACCTTTTTACAAATATTACACTGATACATGATTAAAAATTTAATATGATCAATATAATATTAATAATATAATAATAATTGATTAATAATGATAATTTATTATGTTAAATGCGTAAAAAAATTGAATTGCGTTATAAAGTTAGTAAGCAATATCTTATATAAGCGTTAATATATTGTATGCGTTAGTATGTTAAATTTATGCGAAAGCGAAAATATATTTAAAAATTAGCAATAATAATAATATTAATATGATAATTTGTTTTTAAAAAAAACACAAAACCGATAATATTAAAATTAAACACTGAAAAATAAATGTAATATTTTAACGGAGTGAAAACTTAGATGCACTTGTTAACGTTTTCGCTGTAGAACCAAATCTGACGTTATTAGAAATATTGGTTCACTAGCATGGTCTAAGATTTAATCATAACCTCCCTCCAACAAGCAAAATATTCATCCCTCCCAACTCGTTGGAAGGGATGATATTTCGTTTCATATTGCATCTACCAAACATTAGCAACTGGTCTGAACTTGATTTTTTTTTGAGTGCGTTATAGGATTCTATGGAAAGACCTTTCGTTGACCGAAACGAAATTTATGTATATATTTTTACACGTAAATACTATTTTAAAATGACCATACGCATCGCCACATGGGGAGGATTTTTTTTAAGCAAACAACCTAAATTCTTCGATAACATGGTTACACGGTAAATTTACGATTTTTATTTATAAAGAAAATAACGGGGTTGGTCTTTTCTGACGATATATTACACACCCCGACTTGACCGAAACGAATTTTATGTATATATTTTTCACATAGTATACATTATTTTAAAATGGCCTTACACATCGCCACATGGGGGGCGGGTGTTCTTTACGTAAACAAGCCAGCATCTACCAAACAATAGCAACTGGTCTGAACCTGATTTTTTTAGTGCGTTATAAGATTCTATGGAAAGACCTTTCGTTGACCGAAACGAAATTTATGTATATATTTTTACACGTAAATACTATTTTAAAATGACCATATGCATCGCCACATGGGGAGGATTTTTTTTAAGCAAACAACCTAAATTCTTCGATAACATGGTTACACGGTAAATTTACGATTTTTATTTATAAAGAAAATAACAGGGTTGACCTTTTCTAATGATATATTACACACCCCGACTTGACCGAAACGAATTTTATGTATATATTTTTTACATAGTATACATTATTTTAAAATAACCTTACACGTCGCTATATGTGGGAGGATGATCTTTGCGTGACCAATCCAAATTCTTCAGTTTTACATCATGTATAACCTAACCTAACGGTAAATTTACTATCTACATTTATAAAGAAAACTTCTCGGGTACATACACAATATTTTTTTGAATCTATATATCCTGGAAAATATTTAGTTACGTAAATCAACATTTAGTGTTAACCATTTCCGTGAGCAACCCGTGTATTTTGTTTAACTTAAAATATTATCAAATTAACTATGTCAAATCTCTCAGAAATTTATATAAGAAACGATATGTTTACCTCACGTTTTGTTTTTGAACGTATATCTCAATATCCTCTAAAATACGGGGTAGATCATATACGACGATATTCAAGTGCGTTTACCGAATGGAATGTCGCGTATTGTTGTAAACGTTTCAACAGTCGCGATTATATATGCAATGAACACCCGTGTTGGAGCACTTTTGAGGGCATAGAACGACAACCTGAATTTGGGGTTAGATCATTTGCCATCAACGACATTAATGGATTTTTCGCATTTATGCGATTAATGCATTGTAAGCAATGCAGACGTCCACTGTACCGATGGCTCACAGTCGATAAATCAATCGCCAGGAATTGGAGCCTGCTTACATTAGACAAGTTTGTAAATTACGTTGATATACCTATTGAATATATTAACTTGTAATTTTTTTTTACTAACCTTAGATTTAAGAAACCGGAGTTAATTATTGTAATTTTTTTTATTAATATTAGATTTTAAGAGGTATGATTGTAACTTAAATATTTTATCTAAAAGAAACTTTTTTTTAAAAAAAAACAATAAATCCTCATTTTTTTTAGTTAACTATGTATTTAATTTAATTGAATTTATTAAATTTATTTAAACTAAATTATCATGACTCATCTATGAACTAAATATCTATCCTTATTATTTAAAAAAAAATGTGGTCTGGATTAATCGTTTCTATAACACTATGGTTAGTAAGAATTGTAAAAAAAATCTGACCATAATAATTACATGATTTCACCTGTCTGTGAGCTTAAGGTGTGTATGCATGATTTCTATGCGTTATAAGGATAAAATATTGTACTAAATGGAAACTTGCCATTTTTACTTTTAAGGTTTGTATTAAATAAAATATCGTATTCTATGACATCAGTTAAACGGTTTTTTAAAACAAAATTTAAAAGTAATATAATATTTTATATGTATTATCCATAAATAATATTATTAAGAAATGACCGTTAAAAATTATAACAGCTTAAAACAGGTTAGGCTAGGTTAGATTGAAAATCAAAAAATTAGCTGTTAAAAATAATAATATAAAAATTGATAAAAATAATGAAGATTTTTTTCTTTAAATATAATACATTAAAATTTTCCGATTGGGTTAGGTTAGGTTAGGTTAGGGTCAACGAGGCGGAGTTCATTGTTACACCGTCATCCATTCATCCCCGCGGCGGCCATTCTCCGGGCGGCGGCCGAGACACCTACAAGACGGGGTACAGGACAGCTGTGAATTATCCGATCGCCACCTGCGTAATCCTCCGGCTAATCCTCCGGCTTATCACCAATCCTCAATCCTCAATCCTCCCATTGTTCCAGTACATACATTCCCCTTCTACTTACTACTTGATGTATTTAAATATACACCCCTTGGAGGTTCAGCTTTTATACCGCTTCCGGAGACAATTGAAAATCGTAAAGCAACAATAAACGTACAAAATAATGACAATATGTGCTTCAAATACAGCATTATGGCCAAGGACGTTACTGCACCAAACCCCAGCCGTATCACACATTATCAGAATGTACCAAGCAGACACAATTTCTCGGGAATTACATTCCCCGTGCCATTATCTGAGGTGAAACATTTTGAAAAAAATAATCCAGGGGTATCGATAAACGTGTACGGCTTCAAGAAGGGGAGTTTAACATATAAAAATAAATCTAAAAATAACAACGGCCAGACGTCTCAAAATGCAGAAAAAGATGAGTTCATTATTATCCCGTACAAGGTGTGTGACCGTGAACAACCCGATCATTACGATTTATTATATTTCAGCAACGGAGAGGGAGTATACCACTACTGTTATATCAAGAATCTTGCAAGATTGGTTGGATGTCAATTGTCTAAAAACACCAAGGAAAAAGCCATCTGCAGACGCTGTTTTAAGGTGTACATCGATGAACCGGGTAAAATTGATAAAGAAGCTAGACTTGAAAATCATAAACGAATATGCGTCAAGAACGAGTCAGTAACTCCAATTCTACCACCGCCAAATACGTACATGCAGTTTGAGAACTGGGGTAACACCCAAAAACTCGATTTTGTCATTTACGCAGATTTCGAGTGTTCGTTGAAGAAACCTCTAGTTATGATAGCCATTTAATAATAAACGAATTAGGGCACGATCCGCATACAATAAACGTTATTCCAAATAGTGAAGAAAAATTTATATCTTTTTCAAAATATATTTCGAATAAGTTTTCCATACGTTTTCTGGATAGTTATCGTTTTATGGCTAGTAGTTTGGAAAAATTAGCCGATAACCTTGCTCGATCCGATAAGACAAAGTTCCGTTCTGTGATAAATGCATATGGTGAAGATGATTTGGATATGGTTACTCGTAAAGGTGTTTACTGTTACGATTATACGGACTCATGGGAAAAATTGGAAGAACAGTGTCTACCGCCTATAGAACAGTTTTACAGGTGAATTATAATAATTATATTACATAAAAAAAAAAAAAATAATAATAATAATAAAATAAATTAAAAACAATTTTTTTTAGTTCACTGACTGAGAAAAATATTTCCCAAGATGATTATAAACACGCTCAAAATGTATGGAAACGTTTTAAATTCAAAACTTTAGGCGAATACAGCTTATGGTATGTGATATATTTAATAGTATTCTATCTTAGTCTGATAATTATTTATATTTTTCAGGTATAATGAATTGGATGTACATATTGTATGTGATGTTTTTGAAGCTTTTAGGGAGCTCTGTTTAAAAACATATGAAATCGATTGCTGTCATTATTATACTATCCCTGGTATGAGTTTCGATGTTTGTTTGAAATACACTGAAGCCAAGTTGGAATTGATATCAGACTATGACATGTTACTTATGTTCGAGCAAGGTAATAACAATTATAGTTTCATTGATATTACATCTCTAACATTCGTTATCTAATTTAGGTGTAAGAGGAGGAATCTGTCAAGCTTCAAAGAGATACTCTAAAGCTAACCACAGCAAGGCCCCCGTATACAATCCCGAAGAACCAAACAGATGGATAACATATCTTGATGCAACAAATCTGTGAGTAATAATAATGTGAAAACTGTATTTATAGTTTATTTTTTTAATTTTCATATAATTATTTCAGATATGGTTGGGCAATGTCGCAAACGATACCAACTGGTAACTTCAAATGGTACGAAGGAAATCTTTCTGTACAATCTGTTCAAACCCGTTTAGACAGAATAGATGACAATGCGGAAAACGGGTTGATTTTAGAGGTTGATGTCGAATACCCGAAATCCCTTCATGATCAACATTCAGATCTGCCGTTTATGTGTGAGAAGATTACCCCTCCTGGTTCAAAGATAAAAAAATTAATCTTGACGTTAAACGATAAAAAAAAGTATATTGTGCACCACTCAATTTTAAAGCAGGCTCTGAAGGAGGGTCTTGTTTTAAAAAAGGTGCATAGGGTACTTCAATTTGACCAAAGCCCTTGGTTAGCTAGCTATATTTCACTCAATACGGAAATGAGGAAAAAAGCAACCGACGATTTCCAAAAGGACTTCTTTAAGCTCATGAACAACGCAGTTTTTGGTAAATGTGTATATATATATATAATTATATATAAAAAAAATAATTTTTTTAAAAAATAATATCATCTTAATTATTTTAATAGGTAAAACCATGGAGAATGTGCGCAATCGCATGAAGATGTCTCTTGTCTGCAGTCCTGCAGCTTTTCAAAAACTGATAAACAAGCCTACATTTAAGGGTGTAACGCAATACAATGAAAACTTGTATGCGGTACACCTCCACAAGGCAGTTTTAACTTTTGATAAGCCTATTTATGTAGGATTTACTGTCTTGGAAATCTCCAAGACTTTAATGTATAATTTTCATTACAATGTAATGAAAAAATACTATGGATGTGACATAGAACTGTTATACATGGATACAGGTAATACTATTATTATTTTTTTTATTGGAAAACTATTATATATATTTATTATTAATATTTTCAGATTCTCTAATGTATTTAATTAAGACAGATGACTTTTACCATGACATGCTAACCAAACCGGGTTTTCTGGAAAAATTGGATACATCTAATTTCCCGCCATCTCATCCGTGTTATAGAACCGAGAGAAAAAAAGTTCCCGGAACTTTCACAGGTTAGTTATACAATATAATAGTTTCTTTTTTTTATTGTATATAGATAATAATTCTAATATGTTTTAGATGAGACTGGAGGTGAAATAATCTCAGAACAAGTGGCTCTAAAACCAAAATCGTATGGTTACATACAGGTTGGACATGAACATATTAAAGCTAAGGGCGTTGCTTACCATGTAATAAAGAACCATATGACATTTGAGGATCATATGGATTGTTTATTCCAAGGTATCAATGGAAAAGATCCAGCTGCATTCAATCCATACCGTACGATGAATTCATTCCGTTCTTATAAATATAATATTAAAACCATTTCAACCCTCAAGCTAGCGTTAAATCGACAAGACGACAAGAGAGTTGTATTACCTGACCGTATACATACTTTACCTTATGGACATTATAAACTAATGTAAGTTATAAAATCATTAGATTGTTAAAACAAAATTTACTAATATAAGCAATTTATTTAAACATAGGGAGATGGCTGAAGAAGAAGAAGAAGAAGAAGAAGAACTATAATTTCCAATTTATTATTAAGTTTATAGGTATTGTTATTTTTTTTTCACCCTTTTATTTATTTTTTGTTTTGTTATATATATTCTCTATACACTTCAGTTTTGTGCAGACAACCTGTCCCACTTCTGATTGTTGTAGTGAGAATATGTAAATAAAATTTATTAATATTCCCCCCCCCTTTTTTCCACTTTATAACAATAACATTGAATAAATTTGTGAATACGTGTATATAATATATGTATAATTAAATAATATCTGTACATGTATGTTATACTTGTAATGTCAATAATATAGATTTAATATTAAAATGAATTATATTGTAGCTAACCTCAACCTTTTTATTGTAAATAAAGTGTTATTATATATGTACATATACACTTTTTTTTTTACCATTTTATTTTTTGTTCTGTTATATATATTCTCTATACACTTCGGATTTGTGCAGATGACCTCTCCCACTTCTGATTGTTGTAGTGAGAATATGTAAATAAAATTTATTAATATTCCCTCCCCTTTTTTTTCCACTTTATAACAATAACAATGTTCAAATTTATGATAATAAATATATATATATATAAATAATATCTTTACATGTATGTTATATTCGTAATGTAAATAAAAAAAAAATAGACTACTAAATTATAATAAATAAATTGTTTTTTATTAAAAATAAAGTTAAATTAAAATACATTATAATATACAAGGTTATGAGATGTTTACAAACCAATTTCGTAATGCAAACATTTTATAAAAAGTACAGTGTTTAGGGTTTAAATTCATATGAAATAAACATGATGGATATGATTCTTCAGTGGTTAGTTCCGATAAGCGAGGGCATCCGATGTCTTCAAGGTTAATTATTTGGATATGTGGTATAAACTGATGTAAAATGTCTTTTTTCTGTAGCCCTTTGACATAGATGATTGTAAATGTTAAAGAATTTAAAATTCTCGATATATCTTCTGCTTCAACGTCTCCATATTGAGGTGTCATTGAGTGATGGTTTCTAGCTAGCCACTTGTTAACGTTTCGAGTGTTTTTGTTTGATGTTTGTGTAAAGTTGTACTTAAATATCCAATGTTGTGTATTCCATGTGTCAATTGCAATTACAGATAATTCTTTTATTAAATAATTAGAGTCTGGTGACATAATACATTCCATATCCAAAATAGCAGAAGTCATTAATTAATAAATCACTTCAGGAAAACTGCATTTACTGATTATGGTACGCAATTTATCAAACTGAAAATCTATTTTTTTTTTTTTAGAAAAACAAGAAAATAAAATTCATTAATATCACATTATGCGTGATATACATTGCAATTTGTATTCTTGCATTTGGTAGTAGCAACGCAGAAGCAAGCAAAGGTAAGTCGAGAAATAGTTAATCTATTATAAAATGTTTAATATACACATACAAATTAAGCGTCATCTGTGGACGGACCTAGTTGAATTACTTACACCATAAACAATATTATAAAAAAACAGGATTTTTATTTTATTTTCATTACCTTACTTTTTTAATTACATTTTTAATACGACATCCTTTACATTTACTCTACCTGTACTCAGTATCCGGTAAGGGGGTTAGACTATTTTTTTCGGTGTAAAAGTGTAACCTTTCAGTTAGTTGTATCATTAAAAAAAAACATATTGAAAGAAGTGGTTTTAAATTTCTTTTCCGTGCAAATAATTTAATATAGAAAAATGTTTTTTTTTTACAACAATATTATTTCATCTATGGTTTTCTTAAATCCGGTTACATTTTTTGAAGAAAAAATAATGTATTAATTTAAAATAAATATTTTATTTCCGATATGTGGGTATTATTGTGATATCCCTTTTATATAAAGTGATTTATTAGTTTCTATACAAAAAATAAACGAGTATATTACATCATTGTTTTCAATAAATATTATTTATATAACATAACACTAATATGTTTTTGTTTTAGATGCTCCACTCTATGACTATCCTAAGCTTCCTTAAAATTGCCTGAGATACGACCATGTGTATGCACAAATGGATCTATGCTTTATGGTGTCCAAATTAATTTCAGAAAACAATTTCAACTTGTAATAAAAATGTAATATTCATTTTCGTAATAAAATCGTTCAAATTTTAATACTATTTTTACAATATATTTCTGAACAATTTGTAAAATTCGTTTTTCGTTAGAGTTAATAACATTATTAATATTACATAAGTAATGAAGTGGTATATAACATGTACAAAGTAGTAACATAGTAATAACGGAAACATATATATATATATATATATGAAAATAATACTTGGGCTTGTTATTCGACAGGAGACATACCTGGGGACCCCATCTTAAAAAGCTGAAGTGAAACAGTTCAGCACTCGCCTACATCTAATAAGACCGCTCATTCAGTCCAATCTGAATATTTCTAACCGTTTACCTTCAAACAAAACCCTCCTTCTACCAACGTGGTCTTTCGGTATTGCTCTTTGTGGTGCCGCAAAACCCTCAAACATCAGGACAATTCAGGCGTTCCAGTACATATGTCTCCGCTTGGCCACCAAAGCCCCGCGGTACGTCACAACCAACTCCCTTCACGAAGACCTCAAAGTCACAACAGTCAAAAAGACTGCATCTACATTCTACCTAAGACTACACTCCAAAATGCAATGCCATTCAAACCGACTTGTCACCCAGCTGTACTGAAAAACACTTCCGGACAATCCAAACAGACGCCTCAAACGCAATTGGTCAAGATACCTACTCAATGTAAATTAACTTAATTATTATATTATCATCCAAAAATAAATTTTCCAAGTTTAAGATAAAATTTTTGATTGTAAATTCATGGGTAAAGTTTCAAATTAATATTAATAATTTGTGTTAAAAGTTGATGCCTAAATTAATATGAATACTGTATGACTATTTTTCCCTCAAAAAAAAAATGTAGTGTTATTTTCTCCCCTCCCCGGAAAAAAAGTGAATAATAAATATGTTATAGTATTACGGTCCGAATAACCACCATGATTTTTTTTATCAGGTACAATTATGTGTATACTGAAAATTTAAGTAAGATGAGCGTCTTGACCGATGACGTGGACTTGGTCGCTCTCCTGTTCTCCTATATATAATATACATAATACGTTCTAAATATATTCATAGCTGCACATCACAAAGCATCTTAATCTTTAGTCCATTTTATAGAAGAGTATTAATAATATCAATAATAATATTGGTACAATTTTTTTTTCAGCAAAGAAGTTCATAAGGTTAGCAATGTTAACCTCAATTGTTGACGTGTCAAATGAAAGATATTTTATCAGAAAGTCATTTGAATAACATAACAACAGTATGATATAAGAACTTTTAATCACAATTATTTAGATATTTTTTTCATTTTCTATTGC